AGGGTTTAGGGTGTAGGGTTTAGAGTTTAGGATTCAGGGTTTAGGGTGTAGGGTTTAGAGTTTAGGGTTAAGGGTGTAGGGTTTAGAGTTTAGGATTCAGGGTTTAGGGTGTAGGGTTTAGAGTTTAGGATTCAGGGTTTAGGGTGTAGGGTTTAGAGTTTAGGGTTCAGGGTTTAGGGTGTGGGGTTTAGGGTTGAGGGTTCGGGGTCTATAGGGTTCAGGGCTCCATGTGCCTATAGAGTATATACGTATAAGCTGTAAAGTGCATACATAGGGACTACTTTCAGGCCTACACATCGAGTATATAAACTACATGGGCCCTAAAGCCCTAAACCCAAAAGAACCCTTGCAGAATCCTTCTGGAAGCCTTGTAGTGACCCTTGTAGTGTAGAAGCCTAAAGAATTACCAATATCATTCCTCAGGGGTTCCTTACTATAACTATGCTACAAATGAGCCCAAAACCTTATTCTAATTATTAAAGCCCTCCTAAAACCCTAAACCCTAAACCCCTAAACCCTAAACTCTAAACCCCTATAAACCCTAAACCCCTATAAACCCTAAACCCCTAAACCCTAAACCCTCTTCTACTTAGTAAGAGGGTTACATCAGATGGAGTGGTTCCTGAACCCCAAGAGTCTCGACATCTTGAAGCCCTAGCACCCTGAACGTTGAGGGGTTTAGGGGTTGAGGGGCTACGGGGTTTAGGGTTCAGGGTTTCGGGTTCAGGGCTTTAGGGTCTAGGGTTTGGGGTTTAGGGCTTGGGGTTTAGGGTTGGGGGTTTAGGGTTTAGGGGTTTGGGGTTTAGGGTTTAGGGGTGTAGGGTTTGCGGTTGATCTCATGCCGTCTCGCAGTTTCCACCCAAGAACACTCACATTGCGTAGGCTTAGGCCTGTACCCAGACCTTCCAATAACCTGAAATATTGAATATACCTTGAATACACCATACGAGGGATCTTACTGCAATTTAAGGGTCTGGGTATATCTTTAACGACACAGCCGAGCCCCTAAACCCTGAACCCACAAGAGACTTCCAGAGCCATAGCGCAAAGACACCCTCAACCCTAAAACCTAAAACCTAAAACCTAAAACCCTACACCCTAAACCCTAAACCCTGAAACCCTAAACCCTAAACCCTAAACCCTAAACCCAACCCTACGACCCTCAAGCCGGAACACCCCAATACCAACTTATTCCAAAAGCACCGCACCAGCAACGAAGGGAACTATAGCCCCAAACCCAAAAATCCCTAAACCCTGAACCCCAAACCCTAAACCCTAAAACCCTAAACCCCAAAGCCTTGAACCCCAAACCCTCAAACCTCAAACCCAAAAACCCGACACTCCTCAACCCTTAGAGCGCAAAAAACCCAAAGCCGAGGTGCCTTTGGTCAACGAGAAGCCGATTTTAGGAGCATATTTTCTGATCCTCCTTCTGGCAGTGGGTGCCCGGGCGGAACATGGGTTTTCTCAGGGTTTAGGAAGGAGGAGTTGGGGTTTAATGACTAGGGTTTAGGGTTTAGGGTTTAGGGTTTAGGGTTCAGTATATAGTCAGTATGGTCTCCATTGTAAACCCGCAACCCCTAAACTCTAAACACTAAACCCTGACCATTGTTGGGGATACGACCAATGGTCGCTTGACCCACTAGTTGGGTGCTGACTTCGGCGGGTCGACAAAGAGAGTGCCATCCCAGCTTAAAAGAAAAAACCCTGACCATAAACCCTAAACCTAAACCCTAAACCCTAAACCCTAAACCCTAAACCCTAAACCCTAATCATAAACCCTAAACAACCGAGGAATCATCTTCATGAACTTGGTCACGGCCTCCATCGTGGAAGCCTCTCTCCAGAGTTCCGAGCTCGACCGCAAGGAGAAAAAGGACGGGAACCTTTTCGTTGGGGGTGGGTGCGGGGGGGGTTTAGGGTTTAGGGTTTAGGGTTTAGCGGGGGGGAGGGGTTAGGGTTTTTGGGGTTCAGGGTTTAAGGTTCAGGGTGGGGGGTGAGGTGAAGGATGTATTCTAGACCCTGAACCCTAAGGCCTAAACCCTAACCCGTACTACTGAAAAGTCGGCTCTTGTAGAATAAGATCGAGCCTGCTTCGAAAGTCTTCATGTCCGTGGCCTTCACCCCGAACATACCCAGACCTAAATCCCAAGCCCCGATGTAGGCGCCTTAATAATTACCAAAAATTTTTTTAATGGTTCCTCATTCGAGTTGTAATATAATGGACCCCAAAAACCCTATTCCAATTATTAGGGCCCCTATATATTACCTTAAACCTTGATCAAGACCAAAACTCGTGGGTTCTTACACCTTTCTCGCGGTTGCCGGATTACATAAGGGTTCCCTAAACCTTGAACCCCAAACTAAACCCTCCAAAAGCCGCAAAACCCTAGTGCCCCGCAGCCCTGCATCGCGAAAAGGAGCGACTGAAAACGGAGATGATCAAGTCCATTCCGGTGCCTTTCCTTCTTAGTAAGGGGATTAGTGTTTCAGGGTGTTAGGTTTTAGGGTTTTAAGGTCTCTTCCGTCGGCGTTGCTTCTGACTTTGGTGGTCCTTGGGGTTTACGTTTCATACTTCATAACCCTAAACCCTAAACTCTAAACCCTAGACACCAAATCCTAAACCCTAAGCTCTACTCTAAACCCTAAACCCTAAACTCTAAACCCTAAACCCTATCTAGGTCTCCCGATGAGCCCCTATTTTCCTCTTTTGAAACCTTAGGTTCCTCATAATAAAGGTACCCAACACCAAGAAGGGAGCCCTTCTTGATCCTAGGTTACTGGGCATCCTAGTATTATAACAAGAACTCCAGCAAGTATTTGGGTTCTATGGGCGTCCAAGCTTAACAAGCTTGGCAGCTGAGCTTTGACCACTTTCAGGCACAGGGTTTAGGGGTAACCCTAGCGCTGCATCGCTGCCCTAGTAGAGCCCCCAAACCCCCGGAACCCGAGCCTAACTTTTTTTTCGCCCAATCCCTGGCCGTTTTTTCCCTAAACTGAAGGTTTAGGGGCTGCGGGGTTTTGGGCTTTGGGTTTTAGGGTTTAGGGTTTTAGGGTTTAGGGGCCTGGAGATGTCTTTTGCAAGCTTTAGGATATGTTGTTGCAGGCTTTGTTGACCTTCTGCTTCTGCTTTAGCGTTCAAGGTAGAGTTTAACCACCATCAAACCACAAACCGTTCTTAGAGACTCCTTCCAGGGCTACAAGATTAAAGGCCATGTATGTAAAGTTGTGGTTTTAAGTTTTGCATTTCGACAGGTCAGGAACCGTAGCCTAGACTCTAGACTTCAACTGTGAGCTGTTGTGCCTAGACCTTAGGAGCTAAACCCTTGAAGTTGTTAGTTTTTAATTCTAAACCCCTGAACTTGTCAATTGTTAGTTCTAAACCCTTAAACTTGTTGCTTTTTAGTGCTAAACCCTTGAAATCGTTAGCCTTTATATCCAACACCT